TGAGTCTGTTTATTCAAGAGCTCCTGATGAACAGTAAGAGCTAGGACCACCAAATTTGGTATGCCGCATCCTCTTAACTTAACTGAAAGGCAGGTCAGGATTTGGTTGAGCTAGGACAATAGGATGCATCTCGAATTCGACTGTTTCTCATTAAATAGAAAGGGAGCCGTCTGGCAGAAAGAAGAGTTATACTGTGGAATGACCACAAGGGGGCAGCAAGAGCCACAGCAAGAAGCTACTGCCCTCCCCCTAGCGCCTGGCCGGGGGAGCACAGGTGGGATGCTTGCATGCCCTTCCCCCTTCCGCTTCCCCCCCCCACCCCGGAGTGAGGGGACAGCTCCCTCTCTCCTCGGCTGGCTACAGGATGAAGCTGGAAGCCTGGCTGCTTAGCCCCACCCTGCCTTGGGCCAGACCAGGGCAATGCCAGGTTAGTTTTCTAGTTATTTAAGTTTTACAGATCCTTATTAGCACTGCCTCTGTAAATCCTCATTGCTCACAGGTATGATCAATCTTATTCCGAACACCGAGCTCACGGGCTAGTTTCACCTTATTTAAATGCAAAGATTCGGGGGCCTCACCCCTCTAGTCAGCAACCGAACGAACACCACTGGAGAAGGGTAGGCCATACATCATCTAAATACGAACTGGGACTCTGACGTGCAGTATGAGGTAGTCCAGAAACATCCCCTTTTTGGGCTGTTTTCTCATGGAGCATGCACACCCAGGCCAGGCTGCTGGGAGAGAGAGCGGGGAGACCCCCCCTCCCCTCAGAGTAGCCTTGGAGAACTCTCTTTTGCTCAGCCCCATCCAGAGCCTGCACCCCCCAGTAGGGATGTGAAGGGTTAACCAGTTACCCGGTAAGCATGAACCTCACCAGAGCAGTACCATGGGCCCTGCCCAGCTGGAACAAGCCCCCGCCCACAGCATGGTGGGCCTGGGTCCCCGCTCACTCGCCATGCAGCGGGCCCAGCCCACCATGCTGCAGGCAGGGGGCTGATCCAGCGTTAATCAATAACAAGTAGCATTTAATCGGTTAGCTTTTTAAACTGTAATTAACATCCCTAACCCCAACTGGAGCCCTCAGACCGCAACCCTCTGCCCTGGGGGCCCACCCCCCCTCCACTCAGAGCCCTTTGGCCCCACTCCTGCCACATGAATTTTGTCATGGGCACCACTATGCACGTGGGGAAGCAAACATCGCCCCATGCTGGTGCACAGAACCAAAGTCTTTCCCCACATGGTGGGAAACGCTGGAGGGGACACTGACAATTTAGGAGGCAGAAAGCTGGCCCCAGGTACAAAAAGGTTGGGAAACCTTAGACTAGATGCTCACAATGGTCCCTTCTGCTTTTAAAGCCCAGGAAAGACATCACCCTAAAGCACCTCCATGCCCCCAGCCCTGCATCTTAGACACAACCACTCTTCAGGCGCAACTAACTGCAGGGCCACGCCCGACAGCCAACAAGACATTACAAACCGGAACGCAGCCCTGCTACGCCCACCTTTGCCGCTCAGTGCGGAGAGCACAGCCCGGCAGGTACGTGCCCTGTGCCTAGCACGAGGGGCCCTGCAGGTACTCCACGGACATCAGTGTACATCTCTGGTTTGGATTTTGCAATTCTTTGTCTTTATTGCAACATCAAAATGACACTGCTGCCATCACCCCACCCCTTACGCCACGGATTGCAATGCCACGGCACCCGAGAGAGAACTCCCAAACACCACTCTGCCACTAGCACTGGCTCTAGCCTGTGGAGACAAAAGCTACATTTTGTTGGAATGACTTTGTGGTAACAGAAACGTCGTGCCGCCAATCAACCAGCATAAACCACGACATGCCAGGCCAAACTCCATCTAAGCGCCTCCTGCTTCAAAGCACCACATCAAGTTCAAAAAATAAAAGGCCCTTCTCCTAAGGCAGCTTTGTAGTTTTCAGTCAGTAGTTTAAATAGATGTTTAGGCACCAGCACACCTGAACTGGAAAGATGTAATCTAACTATATATTTTAGAAACATGCGCCTCTCTGTCTGTCCTTGAGTCTGTTTATTCAAGAGCTCCTGATGAACAGTAAGAGCTAGGACCACCAAATTTGGTATGCCGCATCCTCTTAACTTAACTGAAAGGCAGGTCAGGATTTGGTTGAGCTAGGACAATAGGATGCATCTCGAATTCGACTGTTTCTCATTAAATAGAAAGGGAGCCGTCTGGCAGAAAGAAGAGTTATACTGTGGAATGACCACAAGGGGGCAGCAAGAGCCACAGCAAGAAGCTACTGCCCTCCCCCTAGCGCCTGGCCGGGGGAGCACAGGTGGGATGCTTGCATGCCCTTCCCCCTTCCGCTTCCCCCCCCCACCCCAGAGTGAGGGGACAGCTCCCTCTCTCCTCGGCTGGCTACAGGATGAAGCTGGAAGCCTGGCTGCTTAGCCCCACCCTGCCTTGGGCCAGACCAGGGCAATGCCAGGTTAGTTTTCTAGTTATTTAAGTTTTACAGATCCTTATTAGCACTGCCTCTGTAAATCCTCATTGCTCACAGGTATGATCAATCTTATTCCGAACACCGAGCTCACGGGCTAGTTTCACCTTATTTAAATGCAAAGATTCGGGGGCCTCACCCCTCTAGTCAGCAACCGAACGAACACCACTGGAGAAGGGTAGGCCATACATCATCTAAATACGAACTGGGACTCTGACGTGCAGTATGAGGTAGTCCAGAAACATCCCCTTTTTGGGCTGTTTTCTCATGGAGCATGCACAGTGGAGCCAGCTGCTCTGCGTGTCCCCTGGACGGGACCACTGGCTCTGCTCCACCTTCTACCTATTTCTGACTATCCTGATGGCCTTCAAAGTTTTGTGCGACCAAGCTCAGTGCTCCCTGGATATTTGTGTTGTTCAGACTCTACGAACAGTGACCACACCTGGTAAAACCTGCCTCATCCTCATGCCAACGGTCGTTCCCCGCTGCAATACCGTATTCTTTATTTCTCTAGGACACTGATGTGGGGGATTGGTCCCTTTCTTAAGAACAAGCTATCACCCATCTAGCATCTGCATGATCAATGGGTCCTTCCAAATCACGGCCCACCTTGGGACTATTGCCTAATTAAACCACTGACATCTAGCATCTGCATGATCAATGGGACCTTCCAAATCACGGCCCACCTTGGGACTATTGCCTAATTAAACCACTGTGGGTTCTGAGGGTCGCCAAATGTTAGTTACTTTTAAAATCAGCAGTATCTGTGTGCCTTTCGAAAGCTAGCTATCTGCAACTACAACACCCCAGCACCAGTACACGGAGACACTCCGTAACGTTCAGCAACTTGCTATTATCTGGGGACCTTCCAAATATAATTGGTCCATAGAACTCCAAGGGTCAGCTGTAACACCTGCAGGGCGCAGTGCAAAGGTAGATGACTGGAGTATTGACTGCT